CAGATGAATTGGATTATAGAGAAAATAGCATGCTCCGCATATAACGTACACAAATAACAGGAAAAACATGGTAAATAATATGTTATTTTCATACAATGTATTTATATTTTTGTGCGTATTGGGGTGTGTATTTTTTAGGTTACAATTTTTTATGGTACATATGATAAAAAGGGAGAATTTACCCCGTAGAAATACAATCCATATCACAGAGGGAAGTTGGACACGTGTTGCCCGTAATAAGGTTCGTGGTGAAGAGATTGAATTTAGCATCTTTTGCCGAGTTATCCGTATTTCCGACAGAAACAGTTTTTGTTGTATGCTCGGAGTAATTTTATTATATTTAATTTTTATTTAATTATTTTATACAACGTTTTTATGTTACTGTTTTATTTTATTTATAATTTTCATTATCATTATTATTTTATATTTTTATTTTATAATAATAATAATAATAATGATGATGATGATGATGATGAAGATAATAATAATAATAATAATAATAATAATAATAATATCCCTACACTATCACTTTCTTTTCCATGTCCATTTTCTCTAACAAATTGCCGCCTTCTTTTTCGTTCCACACAGCATAACAACGTTAAGAGAATTAGAAGGCACATCAGGAATTCTCATTAGCGGACCTAATCTTAACAACAAATCATTGGTACCGAAGTACAGCAACGTCGAACTTGGTCAGTAACTAGATGGCTGACCGCTTGGGAATTCAAAAGAATGACGTAGATTCTGAAAAAGCCCGAGGGGAGATGAGCTTCAGACTATCTTGCCAGACATAACAATGACGTTATGAGTACAGTATATAATGACACCCTTTGGATCATTATGGATTACGACACTCATGTGCAAATCTTAATAAAATAAGATACACAGATGACACGGTGTTGATGGCAGACCCATAAAGAACTCTCGGACTAAATAGTAATGGAAAACAGGAAGAAAGAACTATTAAATGTAAAAAGACAGAATACATGGTCATCAGCAAAAGGGACAACCCAAGTTGTAAGCTGTATATCGGGGACAACAATATAAAGGAAGTATAATGTAGTAACTGAAAGGGTATAAATGAGTAACAGGATCAGCAAAGATGTCTTTCAGAGACAATTGGTTTGGTTTATTTTACGGTATATCAACCTCAATGGGTTATTTAATACCGACACATTTTTTTTATTGCTGGTAAAATATTTATTCTCTTTTTTTCCAAAATGTATTTCTGGTAATATTTTTTTCTTCAAAAATGTATAGCTGGTAATATCTTTTTTTCCAAAAATGTATTGCTGGTAATAATTTTTTTACAAAGTATTTCTGGTATTAAAACTTATTTTTTACACTTTCATGGTGTTTTGACCCCAGTTTGTGGGTTAACTATACATAGCCGGGGCTCTAACAGGTGCTACCACCCGGGTCAGGGTGGACCTGGGAACACTAGCAATTAAGAGGTGGTTCAACGCTCTTCTCAAAACTGATTAGAGACCTTCCTGTTGGACGTAGTTTATCGTCTTACCCAGGATGCCGGATGTAGTTTATCGTCTTACCCAGGATGCTGGATGTAGTTTATCGTCATACCCAGGACGGTTAAGAGACGAAGTGAAACAATAAAAGAATGGGAAAATATAGTAAAAAAAAACTCTGACCAGTTGCTATGCAATATCTACGCTGGGCAGTAAAAAATCTCACAAATGAAGAAGTAGCATAAAGCGACTGTAGTGTGATTCTAGCAGTTACAACTGATCTTAGACATTTTTTTGGAAACAGGGTTAACCGCCCCCTGCCGTGAATTTGCGGGTAGCTTAAGGGTTATTGTTGTAATGAAATGTCCCACACTCCATATCGCTTATGTGGACTGGCTATATCAGTAGCTATATATAGTAAACACAGGATATACCTGGGGATCCTTTCGGCAATTAGAGCTTGGACCATCTATGACAAGCCAAGACCAGCTATGACTAACTTAGACCAGCTCTGACCAGCTTGGACAAGCTATGATCAGCTGAGACAAGCTTAGACCAGCGGCCCGAGTGAAAACACTCGGGTCCCCACGTTAAAAAACTGACCTTGTGTCACAACCTGACTCAGTTGTTGGTCAAGTAAATATCCTTTCGGTAATTATTTGGAGATTCGTCTCCAGCTAGTCTAGTTGAACTCTCTGCCTTTGGGCGGAGAGGAAACCAGAAGAGGCTATGTCTTGACTGGGGAGGTAGACAGCTACCCGACTCCGTGTACACGGGGTCTACGGGGAATTTTTGCCCGAGCATACGGGCTCGGTTTAACCCCGCATTAAAAAACGGCCTTGTGCCACATCCTGCCTCGCGGGGTGTTGAGGTAAATAACCTTCCTTCGGGAATTACTAGCCTGCCACCCTATTCCCTGTCTTTCAGTAGTGTATTCTCTTTCACAATAAACATCTCTTCTTTCATCTACGCAAGTATTGCTGATACTTCACTCGAATACCACTTTTGTTTTTTTGTAACCTCTTTAAGGAAACAACAGTATCAGTAAGTAGGATCATCTGAGCTTATTACATATTCCCTAACGGACTTCGAAAAGGCATGAATCTATCTTGCTCCTAAGCTATGCGTTAAATAACCGGATAGATTGGGCTCTTTTTGGTTGGCTGTCAGCCATCTAAGAGAAGGAAATGTTTAATTCAAACCAATTAACTAGACAGACTGTGTTCTCTAGCCTTGGTTAGACACCCAGTCTCAGAAAGAAAGAATACATTGAAGTCAAACCTAACCTGAAGAGGGATGGGCTTACTTTAGACCTTTTTTAAGCGTTTCACCCCAAGCAAGGCGGGAAGCCACTAGCACTCAAGGGGTTACAGAGAGTTAGAGCTAGAGCAAATAGGAGTGATAGGGGAAAGGATGAAGAGAAGGATAGGGGATAGATCAAGGCATCTAGAGACATCGATTGGCATTACATTTGAATCGTTGGAGATTATAGATATCAGGGAAAGAGGAAAAGTGGAGGGAGTTCCACAGGCGAGAAGTGCGAGACATGAAGCTATTGGAGTAGAAGAGACGGCTACATTTATCAGTTTCGATAGTGAAAGGGTGAGAGCGAGACGCCAGCCTAGTTGAACGCTTAAATTCATGAAGTCTGGGAACCAGCGAAAGCAGGTCATCGGAGCAGTTACCGTGAAAGTATTTGTAAAAAAGATAGAGGGAGTCAACGGCACGTCTGTGAGAGAGCGACTGCAGATGAGATGCCAGATCAGGGCCAATTACATTGCATCGCCGTCTCTGGATTTTATCAAGAACCTTGAGACAAACAGAAGGGACTTCAGACCATATATGGCAGCAATGCTCCATGCAACGGTGAATAGTTGATTTATAGATTTGAAGGATCGACTCCGGGGAGAAAAATTTCCTGGCGCGGTACAAGGAGCAAACTTGTGGTGGACGAAGCTATTGATTCAATGTATTTGTTCCATCTTAGGTCAGCAGACAATGTGAGACCGAGCAGCCGCAGAGAGGTGCTCTCGAGAAGTTGAGCGTCAGACATTCTAATGGAGGGCAGGGAAGGATATCTGTGGTGATTAATAGAGAGCAGCTTTGTTTCTGAGGCATTAAAGTTAACCAGCCAATTCCTGCCCCAGTTCCCAACCGATTGGAGGTTCTCTTCGAGTCAAACTGCCAGGTTAGTTTTGTCAACGACACTAGATTTGTTTTTCAGGCAGGAGTAAATTGTAGTGTCGTCCGCGTAGATGCCTACTTGGGAATCTATGACGTCAGGAATATCGTTGATGAAGATAAGGAACAGAGTAGGGTCTAGGATGGAGCCTTGGGAAACACCTGCGTTCGTGGGATGGGAGCTGGAGGAGAATCCGTTGAGAACGACCTTCAATACACGGTTTGACAGGAATGATTGTATTAAGTCAAACAATCGACCTGAAATACCATAACCCTGGAGCTTGCGAATAAGGCCAGCATGCCAAACCCTATCAAACGCTTTGGAAATATCTAGAGTCACAGCACAAGCTTCTCCGTTATTATGAAGAGCTTGATAAACAATTTCAGTCATGACCGTAAGCACATCAGCTGTAGAACGGGCAAAGCGGAAACCATATTGCTTGTCGGAGAGCAGATCATGTAATGTAAGGTGTTTAAGCACTTCGGCGTTGATTAATGACACGAATTCTTGCTGCAGCAGTACTGTAAGCTTTACTCCAACAACTATATGTAATAGGTTATGGTGGAATGATATAGAGGCGCAGCCGTATTGTTAGAACGTTACCGTTTCAGGCATGAGACTCCGGTTCGAGCCTCACCATGTCAAGGATGTGACACCTTGATAATACCTGCCTAGGGAAAGGATTCCAATGTGCGGCACCTTTGGACTGAGACTGAGATCCATACCATAGTTTGACACCCAAACTTCGTGAGTGAAACTGGGAGATGAATCTGTTTGGAAGCCATCGATGGTTGAGTTAGCACGTAGTCATCGTGACCGAGGGTTTCAGCCTACTGGCCTAGTTCAAGCACGTGATCACACCGGATTATGCGTTCTCATCCAGAAACTAAGATCCCCTCAGCATAATGGCAGTATAAATCCCATGTCATTGACTGACTGATTGTTTTTTTACAGCTTATCAACCCTTTGCAGGTTATTTAAAGCTAGAAACTATTTTTTAGATTGTAAGGTTTTTTTTTTCAGATAATAAGGATTTAGTGATACAAGTGTTACTAATTAACTCATTACTTAGTGTAGAAGAGCTGGATTCATGCCTTTCCCAATGGTATAATCAATATAATATAGAGTATAACAAACCTAACTGGAATTGGAACTCGGCTTTCCAATTAACCATTCTGAGCCATTATCATTACCCCACTGCACATTCAAGCTTACAGCACCTGATATTCCCAAGCGGTCACCTATCTAGGTACTGACCAAGCTTGACGTTGCTTAACTTCAGTAATCATCCGAGAAGTGATGTTTCGATATAATTTGGTGGTAAGGCCTTTACATCTTCCACACATCCAAACTTACAGCAGCTTGTATTCCTAAGCAGTTACCCAACTAGGTACTGACCAGGCTCGACATTGCTTAACTTTGGTGATCAAACGAGAACTGGTGTTTCAATATAATATGGTGGTAAGTACTTTATGCCATTCACACATCAAAGCTTACAGCAACTTGTATTCCTAAGCAGTCACCCAAATAGGTACTGACCAGGCTCGACGTTGCTTAACTTTGGTGATCAAACGAGAACTGGTGTTTCAATATAATATGGTGCTAAGTCCTTTATATATTTCACACATCCAAACTTACAGCAACTTGTATTCCTAAGCAGTCACCCAGCTAGGTACTGACCAGGCTCAACATTGCTTAACTTTGTTGATCGTATGGGAACCGGTATTTTATAATGTGATATAGCCGTAAGCCCCAAAACGATGTTGGGCTCTGTAGGCGTTCTTGAATAGGCGTCTGCAACTAGCCACCATAGCAGACTGGAACATTCGGATACGAGCGGACAGCTATAAATGGCGGTATGACACGCCGTGATAATTACAATCAATTGAATACCGATTGGCAAGAAGATGGGAGTGGCCGAGTAATAGGATATTCAACTCTTTTTCGTCCTGTTCCTCGATTCGCTTGGGGCGTCGGTTTTCGATTTGCATTTATTTGTAAGTCGACTTATTTGAAACGGTTCTATTCAGCTCGAAATGATTATATGATCAGATTTTAATCCCCAGACAAAGTTTTCAAAACTCGTCATGATATCGCTATACCATAGCAATACGACATGAAAGAAAATTATTGCTTTCACCACTTCAACCAGAACAATTTCTCAAATTACTCGCCTTCATCGTCAGTGCAACTCAAGGTTATTGCATAGTGATCTTTTCAGAGCCTAAAAGGAAGGGTCAAGTGCAGCATATACGGATTTGTTGGGTATAAAACAGTTGACAATCGACTTGAAGAGTTTAAGGTTGTACAGATCAGGAAAGCATCCCTTCAAGAGCCCGTTCCACCTTGCAACAGATTTTCCCCGTGAAGGAATTCTCTTTTGCCGGGGATGTTGAAAACAATGTTAGCTCTATTCATACTAAACAGTCCCCCCAAGCAGTATCTCTCCTGTGGGAGGGGACTGGGGTTATTACCCGGCGTCTCCAAATGAGGAAGTTCTATCGATAACGCATATTGAAACTTCGACCTGATGTCACATTCTGTTGTGGCGTGAGCCAGTTTTGAACACCTACAACAAGAGGAAGAGGCTATCCTAGTAGAAGTTACTCATTACAAATGGAAGATGAAGAGAAATACAACAAGTGGATTCAGTGTAGCGATCAGCTTGATAATAATTTAGATGTCGATTGGATGATAACACGAGACTTTAATCTTCAATTACATTTTAATCCCTTCAATATTCCTTCAGTTACTCTCAGCCAGTATATAGTACTCTTGTCTGATGCGTGGACTTTATATTCTCAGTCTGCCATGTGTGAGACTCCCGGAGTCTGTACGGAGCGCTTGTTTACATAACCATCGATCTAGCATTCTCGTTCTAGTTCTAGGTGCAATTGAAAGGTCACATAAATCCGTATTTATTTCTAGCTGTGAAGGTCTGCACTAGTGTTCGCTCGTCATCAGCCATGATCAGCGGGAATGGGGTTGATGCGTGAAAAAGCAATTCATCAGCTCAGAACCGTCCAAGTGACTTTGAAATCTACCCAAGCTGGAAAATGACGTTTCGCGGCTCCATCCCAGGCACCGTCTTTGGAATGATCTATCTCTTATGAAAACAGCTGCTTGTCAAAAGGAGTGAGATACTTTCTGGAACGGTACCGTTTAAGAAACCGACCATTTTACCAGAATCTTTTGCGATGAATCGAGGCGGGTAACCTTTCGTCTGCGGGAGAGAGATTGAAAAGTGGAAAATAGTTCATAATCCGCAAGGCCGCGCTAAACGCTTTTTGAAATCAGTCGAGGCTGGAAAGAGGAAAATTGGTTAGCTTCAGCCCAGGTGTGGTAGTGAGACTCCATATTTTTTTTGGTCTTAGGAGGAATCGGCTACTTTATGAAGTTGTACAAGGAACCAAGGATTTTTCTAGCAGCTTTAGTAAAGGTTTGTATATATCTATGAGTTCCAGAGTGAGCATTATTCCTAATAGACATTTTGGGCAAAGAGCCTCATTTCGAGTACAACTGGTTACATCCAACATGACAGCTGGTTACACTTATTAGTATAAACGATATTTTTTGTGGGTTCACGTGTTGGAGTTGATATCCCTGTTTTTATTTTATTAAACAGTATTAATAACAACCTATTTAAATTGAGAATTCATACTAAAATAATCTTGGTGTTTCTGACAGGAATCGAACCTGCATTTCTTATTCTTTAGGGAAACCACTTTTTTAATCTAAAATGTACCTCTACCAGTTTGAGTTACCCGCTTAAGGAGCGTAAGGGTTTCTCGTTTGGCCTCCAGACAATTATTTTAATATATTTTATTGTTATATGTTATTTATTTAATAAAAACTATTTAAGTAAATTCTGTTTATAATAAAGAGTATTAGCAACATTTTGTAGTGTGGGACGTCATTTGTTTTCGTTAAGATACGCTTCGAGCAGATATGGACGTTCGAGAGAAATCATGGCAAATTTCTAGTTTAAAAGCAGTAAAATCGATCTTGCTAACCGGAAACTCCTTCGAAGCTAAACTGGTATAGTACATTAGGCTATATGACGCTTGTAAGATAGGATTGCAGTCTAGGATACAGGTTCGATTTCTGTCGGCGGAAATTTCTATGAAATTTCTCGGACGTTCAGGTTGGTAAATGTTCTTAATACGGTTTATTATAAACAAAGTATTTAGTTAAATATTTGTGTCTATAAAAATAGCGTATAACAATAAAATATATTAAATAATTTTCGGACTTAGACTATTTCGTAGTGTGTGACGTCATTATATATATACCTGTTGAGATGTTGAGTGTTTCCGCGTGCGTGTATTGAAATAAGGACAAACACATACGTAGGGAAAAATACTGGTATATCTGCTATATTTACAACAGAGAGATTAGTAGTCAAACGAACGCAGGTTAGTCAGTAACAATCAGAAAGAGTATAAAGTCCAACTGTATCTTCCGGTAGAGAGACGGAAGTGTGATGGTTACCTGATCTCCCAGAACTCTCTAGAACTGTCCTATTAGTAGTAGAGAGATCAGTCCATTCTGATGAGAAGGTGAGTGGCCCCAACAATACCTATGTATATATATTGTTAGAATATGTAAGTTACTACTACAAAATTCTACATTCTGTTTCGACGTTTAATAAACAATGTCTCATCAGGTAGTTAACAATAATGTTAATAAACGATTTTATTTAAAATTTCAGTTTATGAAACATCACTTCATTTTCCGTTTTTGGAAAATTTTTCGTACAAAGTAAAAAAGATTTTTTATAAAGAAAAAGGAAAGAAAATAAGAAATTATAAGAAATTTATATATATATATATATATATATATATATATATATAAGTTTGAGTAATAATTAATTATTACATAATAATACATTGGGTGCAGTGTCACGTACAACTGGCACGTAAAAGGGTTTGACTGTTCTTCAATGTAACGTTTTTACGATTTTTTTATGTCTGTCTGTTTGTCGCTTTTCCATTCACATAATTCAATTACACAGGAAATATTTCTGATCTGCATTTTCTCAATATGAGGCAAGTTAAAAAAATTAGTGTGACCCAAAAGTCTGGCCACCTCCAACCAAAAAGTAATGAGAACAATAGAAGTACAAGTAATACGGTAATACAAAGCCCATGTACTGGATTCAGTTTATTCACTTTCGTTGACGTTGTCACACATCGAGAACGTCTGTATGAACGCCATCATTTTTGTGTCAGCCATCTGAAGTAGAAAATTATATTATGTAGGCATGGCAAGATTTTCGGACCACCCTGTATATGTAAACTGTCGTGGCCCGGGAATCGTACCTTAAACAGTATAACCCTATTACCCTAAGAAAGGTTAACTCGGAAATATACTTTAATATCTCCAGTTCAGTGTGATGCAGCGATAATAATCAAAATTTGACACTCTGGTTTTTATCTGGGATTGAACAAAGGAAAACACACGCATAATGCATCAGACTCAAGCTTTGTTCAGAATTTCTTTCTGGAATGAATGGCATTTCCACACATTTAAAACTGATGATAGAAAAAAAAATAAAGGGGGTACATTACAGATGTTGTCGTATTTGAAGTGTAACGTGCATAGTTCTTTTCGGAGTTTGGCATGAATTTAAGGCTTTGATTTCTCGTTGTCATGAAAGATTAGTGATTCTGACAAGACAAATGGCGGCAATTGCTTCCACTAGTCGAGTGGTGATTCGTTTTCATGCGCATAGCAAGAGAGACGAGAAAGTGCGAGAGATTTCGAGAGGAAGGGGAGGGTGAAGTTGGACCTACGAGAACTGAAGTATGTGTTGAAAACCATGTTAAAGGTGAGTAAGGATGGAAACAAAAAAGAGAAGCTTTGTTGTTGAACGAAAGAAGGAGGAGGAGGAGGAGAGTAGACAAAATAAGCGGAATAGAAAGAGGTGAAGTAAAACCACCGAGAAAACCAGAGGGAGAAAAACATGGCGGCTAAAATAATTGAAAAGCGAACGGAATAAAAGTATTTGTAACCATAAAAGAAAAAGTATGGTTTGGTTTATTTTACCGCTTGTAAACATTTTCAGTAGGATTTAATATCGATTATTTAGCATAATGCATTGATAATCATAGCTTTGGTTTGTCCGTGAGTCAAAAAATATTGTGCAAATTAATTATACAGGATGATGTGGAGAGCCATGATCACCTACACCATTGTGTAAATTAATCGAAAGAAAATGAATAATTCCATTCTTATTTACTTTTCTCCGTATTTTCCCAATGAAACATAACCCGGTGCACATGTTAGTACTTCGTGTGTCCATTCCACGAAGTCGTTCCTTGAAGATTGACAACAATTTGGATTTAAATCAGGAGAGTTTCCTGGCCAGTCTATTGTACTTTAATTTGCTCACTGGTAAGTCTTGCTAGTGTGTTCGTGCAGTGTCACAATTTTCGTATGCTTTCTTGGAGTAATATTCACCACAGACAAAAGCCGTAGGACAAGTAATCGACAGTCGAGACAGTAGTGTCTGGGCGTGATAAAAATTTGATCCAACCATGGATGACGAAATATTTTTCTAGGCAATTTTATCGTAGCCTTCTAAAATAGATTCATATTCCTGCACACCACTGCAAATGACCTAATATGAGGAAAACAATAGAAAATTGAATAAACCCTGTCACTCCAGTAGGCCTAAAACTGACTGTATGGTGAAAGAAACTAAAGCGGTTGTTTTTTCTCTCTCGGTTATTTGATCTTGGCCGGGTAGTTTACTCTCCTCCTGCTTTGGTTGACTTAACATCCTGGACTTTCCTGGGAGTATGAGAAGTTTTATTTTCACATACGACAGCTATAACGCCTGATGATTGATTGAAAGCTTATGAAACTAGTAGTCGTCTTGAAATTCTATCTATCTATCTATCTATCTATCTATCTATCTATCTATCTATCTATCTATCTATCTATCCCCCTTAGCCAACATACAGAGGAATGCGGAGGACAAAATCTGCTAAATTTTAGTGTTTTCCCATTCTGCCAATGCGACTACAGTACCATTGGACAAAGTCGCATTAATAAGAAAACATTTTTCATCAACAAATTCAAACCCATACTTAATTCATGACATACATAGATTCTACCAAATTCCCTTAACCATAAACGATATATATAGCCAGTTAGGCTCCTTGATTTTCATTTTTATTGTATTTATTCAAAACATAAGCATCAACACGTGGAAATAGAAATAGCTAAAACCTTTTGAAAATCTAAGTGAAAGCGGTTAAGTAAAAATAGTATAAAAAAGGAAAACAACAAATTATTTTTCTAGGAAAAAACATTGAAAATTGTAAGTAACAAAGACTTATTTCTTCTCTGTTAAAATTCATATATTATCAATAAATATCACTACATTAAATATTAGGTGCTTTTTTTCATTTCTCAAGTTTTTCTACAGAATCTTTCCAACATTTGTTTTTACCTACGTACATGGCGTATCAAATGTAAACAAATGACGTCACACATTATGAAATGGACAAAGTCCGGCAATTATTTATTTTTATGTTTATACATTTTTTTTTTATAGATACAAATATTTAAATAAATGCTCTGTTTATAATAAATAGTATTAACAACATTTATCGGCCTTGATGTCCGAGAAATTTTCACAGAAAATATTCGTCCTCCGAATAATAAAAAAGAATGTATAAACATAAAAATGTTTTAAAAATAATTGTCGGACTTTGTCCATTTTATAATGTGTGACGTCATTTGTTTATATTTGATAGGCCATGAGTAGATATGAATGTACGTGGGAGATTCATAGAAAATTGAAGTTCAAATACAGTAAATTCGACCTTGCTAACCGAACGCTCCTCTGTGGCCAAATCGCCTAAAGGCACGTCAAGCTATATATATATATACTTAACATATCTTCATTCGAACATGTCTCATTGAATAATATAGACATATTGTGTCTATTTATTTTTATACAAATCCTTTCCAGTTATCCAACTAGTTTCTTGATGTTCAGATGGCATTCATCATAGAAGGCGCCATAGTTATTTTTTATATCCGATTACTTTCGACCTTTTCTAACCATGCTATTGCAACTAGCTGTACTAAACATCATCGGGGCGATCCACTGTCCAAATGTCGTCTGGAAGACGGATTATTACTATTATGATTAAATGGCACACGTGGCTTTATGCCAGACTAAGTTAATTATATAAATTTGTGCGTGTGTGCAAATATAATAAAACTTATTTATATTATTTTCAGTCGGATTAATGTGCTTTTTTATGGTTGTTATCCCAAACGTTCGGTCGCTATGCCGTCCGGTCTTCTTTACCTGTTTGTGTAACTCTTAGGAAATTTAGGACTGAACCCTTTACCTGTGCGTGTAGATTGTTCTCGAATTCTGCGTAGGCGGTTCTAAGCTGTGAAAGTCTGAACTGGTTGAACTCAGTAATGTAGCTTACTTCAACATTCATGTTGGAAACTAAGATAGCGATGTTACTGAAACGTTTCGTCTGTTGGAAAAAGGGTTTCTAGGTTTTAAAAAGAATTGGAGACCACTGATTTAGAATGTGTGAGCCACGTGATTTAGTTTGAAGGTCTCGTGCCTGTCGTGATATTGCAAGAACTGGCGAAATTGGAGAAATATAATCCCTTCTTATGAAGGAAGCTATTCTCTTGTTTCATTACGTCGGAAGCGTTAATGAGCTTTCATTTTCAGTGTGGTGCTTAAAGAGGCGTAAATGCCTTTTCTTTTTGTGAAATGAGAAAAGAAAGTGTTGTTTTTTCAGAAAAAATACCAACGTGTTTCGTTCCTTCTTATTTATTTGCCATCTCTTCCCAGGACGTATTGCTCTCCAGAATTTCCTGTCTTTTGTAGCGCTTAGTAAAGTTTGCCTTTTCGTTATTTCTTCTAAACCCTTTTCTGCCATTCATTTAATTAAACTCACTAATTATGCCATGTTTTATTTTACTCTGTCCCTCTTGCCTTCAATCTTTATAGTTAACGAATTTTCCTTCCTTGTCAAATTTACCGAAATTTCCGTTATCAAATCTTCCGTTACCGAATTTTCCGTTCCTGAATTTTCCGGACATCGACGGACATATCAGAAATCTAATCTAAACCAAAAATACTGCACTTTTGATACTTTTCGCCCTATTGCTGGTTTTACAAACATTCAATAAGAGTGACTGAAGAACTAGCAATATTTCTTGTAAAAACGGTGCACAGCTTTCGTGAATATGGTTGCCGAGCGGCTAAGATAACGGCGAAAGACACGTAAACTTAATTCTGCGCATTCCGCGTCTGGCTTCGCTACGGGATCCAGTTTTAGAGAGAATTTCCAACATCGGCTTTCCATGCTCCTCTTCAACTCTTATAAAAAAACAAAAACCACGGACGAAAAACGCTTAATCAGCAGCACCTCCCTTCACACCACTTGTCTAATGCATTTCCCGGCATGCTCTACGACAAATATCGACTGTGATGTTGGTCGGCACGACATCATTTAGGACATAATGCATTTCGAGACGCCGAAACAGAAACCGTTGGCGGGAAAATCGGTTTTGATCAAAAGCGGCAATGTTTCCGTCTGGTCAGCCGTTCGCCATTCGATTGCAATTACTTTTTTTCATTCTTTTAAATTCTTTCTCTCTTTGAAATTATCACAAGTTATTTCTATAAAACAAGATAACAAAAACTGTTCACTTTCAAAAACAAATAAGGACAGAAATAAATATGACGTTGTCGGAGAGAAAGAAAAGATAAAAATTATGACGTCATCGTAGAGAACGAAAGAAAAAAATGAGTCGTCGTAGAGAAAGAAAGAAAAAATATGGTGACGTCGTAAAGAAGGAAAGACAAAATATGACGTCGTCGTAAAGAAAAAAATATGGCAACGTCCTAAAGAAAAAAATATGATGTCGTCGTAGCGAAGGAAAGAAAAAATATGGCGTCGTCGAGAAGTAAAGAAAGAATATGATGTCGTCGTAGAGAAGGAAAGAAAAAATATGGCGTCATCGAGAAGTAAAGAAAGAAGATGATGTCGTCGTAGAGAAGGAAAGAAAAAATATGGCGTCGTCGAGAAGTAAAGAAAGAATATGATGTCGTCGTAGAGAAGGAAAGAAAAAATATGGCGTCGTCGAGAAGTAAAGAAAGAAGATGATGTCGTCGTAGCGAAAGAAAGAAAAGATATGGCGTCGTCGAGAAGTAAGGAAAAAAATATGATGTCGTCGTGCTGAAGGAAAGAAAAGATATGGCGTCGTCTCAGAGAAGGAAAGAAAAATATTACGTCATCGTAGAGAAAGAAAGGATAAATATTACGTCATTTTAGAAAAGGAAAGAAAAAATACGACGTCGTCGTAGAGAATGAAATAAAAGTATGACGTTGTCGTAGAGCAGGAAAGAAAAATATAACGTCGTAGTATAGAAGGAAAGAAAAAAATATTGCGTCCTCTTAAAGAAGGAAAGGAAGAGTCACGTTTAAAAAACAATGTTATGTAATGTAACAAAAAATATTCTACATTCGACAAAATGAAAAAATAAACAATTAAGAAACGGATCCAAATGTTTTCCGTTATGGGGTCCTTATATGCTCCTAGTTATCAAGAATAAGAACCAGCCGTTGTATTTGAAACCAAAATTATAGAAAAGTGTAATTCCAAGATGTTACAATTGAAAGGATCTACAAATAAGTCCTTGATATAAAAGTTTTGAGTGATGGGGTTGTCATGTGCCCCTAACTATCAAGAATAAAAACAATTTATTGTATTTGAAACCAGATTTGTATAGTGTTTTTCGATGCGTTACTATAGCAACAATTCTGATATTCCTGATTAATCTTCGTATATCCAGCGATGCGAAAAGGAAATACATTAACTCGGTGACAAATAAATTTGCTTCATTTTTACTAAGCAGTTGTAAATATTCCGCAACGTATCTTCAGGTTCACTACTTGTGTTCATTCTGGACTGGAATAAATTTTGTCTAATATCCACGAATATCGTTAGAGCGGGAGACAGGCCTGAATACTTCGTGATATTGAAATTAGGCCACGCAAAAGATACTGGCCACTTGACATCCTTCAAGATTAACATAATCCCAGATTAAAATGCGCATGCAAATTGAACATGGTTTGGATCCTTCACTTTCTTTTTTTTTAGTTTAGTTGATTTAAATTTCAAAATAGAAAGAATGGATTTAAATACGAAAAATATCAAAATGTCACAAGGTGACATGAAATCTCTAAGGAATTTCAAATATCAAGGCATGCTCTCCAAGTTCCCTAGAAGAAGATGTTGGTGTTGGGAGGGTTTTTTTGATATGAAGAAGACTGCCAGAAATTTGAGATAAGGCATGAGAGATCAAAGAAAGTAGGTTATTTCATCAGTGTTTTACCTGTAATTAAAAACTCCTCAGCTAATGGATAAAGGGTACGTAACTTATGAAGTGTCTTAAGAAAATTAATGTAAATGAACATATGGCATGTAAAACACCGCCATTAACAAAGAAGCATCTAATAAGCCGAAACAACTGCCATTGGGATTTCTGAAGCATAGCTTAGATATGGCAAAAGGCTAAAAGTAAGGGGCGCCATGCGAGGATTTTAATCAATATTCAGATGTAATTCATCTAGCGAAACAAGCTTGCTAAACATTACACCACGTTGAAGCGCCCTGATGATTTTCTAACCGTAGCTTAAATGTGACACAAAGCCGAAAGTATGAGGATCGAACTCACTATCCAATAGTAATTGATTTAGTGTGAGAAGCTTGTTAACCATTACACCACATCGAAGACCCCCCCCCAAAAAATATATAAAGCTATAATTCAAAGATGTTACAATTGAAAAAACGAATAACCTACAATTAAATCCCTAGTATAAATAATTTGAGTTATGGGGTCTCTACGTGCCCTGATGAGATGTTTAACTTGAAACTAAACCTATCTAAAGAGTAATTCATTAAGTTTTTGATGTAATGGAATAACCAGTCACCCCCATGAATGATTACACTATAGGTAGTAAGTACCTATAAAATCTACTATCTACGAGAGAGAGAGAGGAGAGGGGAGAAGGTGAGAGAGAGGCAGACAGGCAGACAGACAGACAGACAGACAGACAGACGACGCAAACACATCCGACATTCTAATTAGTGGCACTCACTACTAGATTAACCTTTGTGTATAACTGTACCTTTTTCATATTGTACTTGCTGTGTACAATAAACCTTTCTTCTAGTATCCACTTGGTGTTATGTGGCGACGAGGACGTATGAAACGAACTTACACTGAATATCACAGTTTCACAACAGCAAAAACAATAGAAACTGCAAATAAGAAAATAGCTCCAAATATTTTGCGTCACGGGGTCATTACGCGACCCTTGTTATCAAGAATAAAATCAATTTACTATGCTTGAAGAAAAAGTTATATAAAGGTTCAAATCAAAAGCTACCGTATTTGAAAAACGAATAGATTTACAAAAAAGAAAACAGTTTAAACATTTAGAATTATAAAGACTCAACGAACAGCCAGCTCTCTCTCTCTTTCTCTACTTATCTCCCTCACTTTATTCATTTGTTTCTATCTACCTCTCTATCTATCTCTGTAAAAAAAAATCTTCGATCTTAAAAGGACCTACTTTATAAAATTTAAATTCATTGAAGTGCGAAATTGGAAGCATAGAGGCATTTATAACGCAATAGCAACTTCCCCATCTGGTCATGTCGTACACATTGAGTCTTAAAAGGGCACTGAAAATCCTGATGTATAATTGATTCATACCTTTTCTAAGCCTATTAGCCCGTAAGTAAATATAATAGACTCAAGAGGAATTCGACCTTTTCTCTCTGATTTCTCAATCCAAGCGCTACCCATAACCCCACCGCTCCTCCAAGGACAAATTAAACTATTAATTAAACTAGTAATTAATTAATTAAACTATTACCGAAAATCAACTCTTGTTATATTCTAGGTTTCAGGGATACTTCGACTTCGAATGGTTAGCAAGCTTGTCTCGCTAGAACAATTACGAGTGAGTAGTGAATTCGATCCTCATAGGTGTCAGTTGAAAAGTCATTAACAGTTTTTGTAATTATTAATGTCAAAATAGTAAAAATTGTCACTGTTAAGTATTTTACTAGACAGTAATGTCACTAGTTAATATGTAGCGCCGTGACCCTAACGGTCGACGCGGGTGCCCACGCACGTGACGACACGCAGTCGACGACAACGCGCTGATCATTCGGGGCCTGTGTCACTAGTTATATGTCCACGAGGGGGCACCCCGAGGCGGCGTAATCGTTAGCAAGATTGTCTCGCTAGAACAATTACGACTGAGTAGTGAGTTCGATCCTCACTGGGTGCCCCATACTTACGGCCTTGTGCCACCTCTGAGCTACGCTAGGAAAATCACTTGGGTGCCTCGAAGCGGTGTAATGTTTAGTAAACTTGTCTCGCTAGAACAATTACGACTGAGTAGTGAGTTCGATCCTCACTGGGTGCCCCATAATTTCGGCCTTGTGCCACATCTAAGCTACGCTTGGAAAATCACTATATGGTTACGAGGTCAATTGGTTAGAACGTTCGATTTCTAAACATGAGACCAGGGTTCGAATCTCACCATGGTTGATTTATCAGGAAGGAGACATCTTGATGTTATCGGACTGGAGAGTCGATCACAGTGTGCGGCAAAGTGCCTGAAAACCACACCATGTGTGTGAATTTGGGTAGACGGTACCCGTCAATAGCTCTGCTAACACGAATTCATAAGTCATCGTGACCGAGAGTTTGAACGTTCTGGCCTTGTTCAGATTGTTGATCAGGCTAAATAATTTCATTAGTACCTCTTAAAAACAGCAGCTGTTGTTTGCATTCCTTGTAAACCTTCCCTTTTTTGTGACAAATTTGATGTCCTAAACGCAGGGTTTATATAATTGAAGCATTTTGCCGATTAGAAGTTGTGTCTTGGGACTTCAATAGAGGAAGTCCATAAATTTCGAGAAAGTTACATTCCCAGTAAGTCCATGGATTTCGAGAAAGTTACATGCCTAGAAAGTCGATGATTTTCAACAAGGTTATATGCCTCGGAAGTCCATTGATTTCGTGAAAGTTACATACCTTGGAAGTACTTTACACCTTGTCTATTGGTCTTGGATCAAAGTTTAGTATCTGTTTTCATAATCTCTAATGTTATAAGCACACATTCATCATTCACTGACCAAGCCTCCAATCCTATTTTCATCTGAATTTTATTTAATTTTTCTATTGAAACATTTTTTTCAAGAAAATAGTTTTCTCAAGTGGACCATTATTGTTCTTTCTCTAACCTTTAGCGAAAATCTATGCAGATGTTATTAATCTGTCAAGTATTGATGGCGTTTTTCTTCTTAACCTTTTGTTAGAAGTAGAGTGGAATGTCAACCTCTTGATTATGTCACTATACTTTTCTATTTACACGTGCTATCCATTTTAGTTGTTGCAACTGTTGAAAGTCCTCAACTGATGTCGTTTCTGTTATCTGGTACAGTTCTTTGTGATTCTGTAGCACCAGTCCACAAGGTTCAAAGAAGCATGATCTTTGCCATGACACTCAGGCTTCATTATTTTCTCTTTGACTTACATGTGATATCCATTTTAGTTGTTGATGCCGTTGAATGTCCTCAAGTGATGTGGTCTCTGTTATTTGGTAAAGTTCTTTGTTTGTGATTCTGTAGCACCAGTCAGTCCACAAGGTTCAAAGAAAGATGATCTTTTCCAAGACACTCAGGCTTCATTATTTTCTCTTCGATCTGATCTTGATTGTACACCCCGAAGTTTTTAAAATATACTCAAGTGATGTGGTTTCTGTCATTTGGTAAAGTTCATTGTTTGTGAATCTGTCGAGTCAGTTGACAGGCTTTGACTAAGGATGGTCCTCACCAAAACCTACTGTCTTATTATGCCAAATTAATTAACGTCTAAAGAAGGCAGTGGTTAAACCAATGATTCCCAACGTGGGGTGCATGGTAATATTTTGGTGAGGCATGCGTAGGATGTGCGCCCTTCGGCTTACTATACCAAAAAAATAAGGGAGCAATTCAAGAATGAGTTATTAACACTGAATTGTTTTCTAGTGGGCTCAAATTTCATTTTGCATTATTATTTCATGATTAAAATGATCAAAGTATATTACAGAATAAGCTTTCATTCAAATATTTTATATTTCTGCCTTTCAGTAGTCTATTATATGTTTTGAAACTATATATATTTAACAGTTTTTTTTTAAAAATGTTCTCTTTCATGGTCTTTGGAGGTTTGTTTAGAGACCAAATTAATGGCCTTTTAAGCTTTCCTTCACGTGAATTGCAGTAAAATTTTGAATACGTAAGAACTAAATATTACAAGGGGTCAGAAAATACCAAAGTAGGGCATGGCCCCAAATCGGTTGGGTACCACTGGGTTAAACTTAGTACGAAATGGATATTCGTGAAAAATCCTTTTGAATGATGCAGTGTTTGCAGAAGAAATATGTCCATATGTCATGTTAACCAAAAATGCAAATTTTAAACCGCTTCCATAGAGTTGTGGCAGTTGCCTGCAGCAATGTGTTACTAATGACGTCATTCATCTTCGTAGTGTCAGCGATATGTATGGAAGAGCAGACATCGCAGGAAATGATTTCTTAGGGCACCGATAATTATATTAAAGGGTTTATTTTTCTTTTTCTTTTAAATTCTGGAAAAAAATAAACATTTGCAATTCATATTCAATGCCTGGATTTATTCTACGAGTCTTTTAGATTGATATTTTAATCCTTAAAACTTTATTTCGACACCTCAGTCAATATCTCCTTTAAAATTCCTCATTAGCTCAAATTCTGAATTTTTTTAATTATTTGACTTTAAAGCAAGGCAACAAAGCCACTCAGTTCTTAAAACGGTATCTATGCTGTTGATACAACTATTTATTCCTGTCTCAAAAGACTGATCTGTTTGATATGGTCAAATTGGCAGTTGATCTAAAAATGATCTACAATCTGCTGTTAAGTGGGACAAGGAATGGCTTGTTAATTTTAACGCCTCCAAAACGAAATTTCTCTCTATTAATCATCCGAGAGACCCTCTCTCTCTCTCTCTCTCTCCCATCAACATGGCTAATTTTATCTACCAGGAGAGTGACAAGTTGCGCCTTCCCAGACTAACATTCTCTGACATGAAGTGGAAAGAGTATTTTGAATCAATTGCTAAGTCTGCCGCTGAGAAAGTTGGTTCACTGTGTCGTGCTCGACAATTTTCTCGCCAGAATCTTACATATTAAGATTAATTAATTAATAAGATATTAATCGCAAAATCTTACATATTTATAAATCTACCATACGTCTATGCTTTTAATATTGTTACCATATATGGTCTGCTACTCCTGCTATATATTTCAAGATTGTTGATATAAGCCAAAAAAAGAATCCGCAATATTATTGGTCCTGGCATGGTATCTGTCACTTTCCCACTAACGTAATAATAGCGTCCCTGTGCCTTTTCTATAAATACTTTCATGGTAATTGTTCTGATGAGCTTTCTTTGATTCCTTTATGGATTTGAGCGCAGTACTAGATTGGCAACTAGGTCTCATCAATTTACAGTTGAAATGGCTAAGTCCTACGCTATCGGTTTCTCATCTCGCACGTCTTACTTGCGGAACTTTCTTCTGACTTTTTGCTTTCTTGCCAAACAAAGAAAAGAGTGCTGAACTGAACGTGTAATCTGTCGTACTTATGGCAGTGAATGCTGGACAATACCTTCAAAGATGAAGAAGAGGCTTGAAGCAAAAGGAATGTGTTCTTACAGAATTATGCCATGGCTGCTGATGATACCAAGTTCTAGAGAAAATGGAAACAAAAAGGAAACATATTTATCATCAGGATGCGACGGCTGAATTTTCTAGGTCACATAATAAAGAAAGAGGGCTTGGAAAATCTGAGACTCACAAAGCAGACAAGAGAGACAGAGGAAAACAACGCACGTCATACTTAATGAGCGTGAGTAAATTGATGTCACAACTAGGTTTGGGAGAAAAAAAATTATTAAGAGTTATAAAGTATAAGAAATTGTGGAGAGCCATGATCGCTTACGCCCTGAGTGAACACGGCACATGAAGGAGAAGACTAGATTGGAAGAAAGGTTTCATTATTTCACAGTGAAAATGGTCAGACGTAACAATAAGTTCTATGCTAACAATTTCTTTTCTCGCACTTCTCGCTTGTGGAACTCCATTCCGTCTTCTTGCTTTCAGCCATCTTTAATCTTTAAAAATTTAAATGCAATCTCAATCGTTATCTAATGTCTTCTTGATTCCTCTTCTTCTATTGATCTCGCTCCTTAATAATGTTTCTATTGTTTTTTTTATTCTTTCACACTCAGTAACACTCGCGTCGTAGTGTCTTTATAACCTTCCTTGAAGTGAAACGATTAAAAACAAAGTAATAATGAGTGTAAAAGAATATAAGAAAAAGAAAAAAATATTATTAAAGAGCGAAAACAAAAAAGAACCGAAATTAAGATAACGACTGACATTACATTTAAATTTTTGAATGTTTTTGAAGGGAGTTCCACAAGCGAGAAGTGCGAGAAAAGAAATTGTTAGTATAGAACTTGACTTGAAAACATGGAACCGGAAAAGAGTTCAACACGCGAGAAGTGTGAGAAAAGAAAATGTTAGAATAGAACTTATGGTTGCATTTAGCCAATTCACACGTGAAATAAAATGAATTATTTTCATTATTTCATTCAGTCGAATACAGGGGTTCCTAATCATTTTTGTGTCATCGCCCACTTTTACATGGAAACATTTTCTCCACCGCCCACCCGTATAGTAAATATTTAAAAGCATATCAGAATTGTTTGGTAAAAGGAAACTGATTTTATTATGTAGTAAAAAATATCAAAGGGAGCTTATGATACTAGTACCTTATAAAAGAACAAATGAAAGCAAAATTGACCATTGAAATATATATATATATATATATATATATATATATATATATATATATATATATATATATATATATATATATATATATTATGAAATGGACAATTATTTTAAAGACATATTTATGTTTATACATTTCTTTTTATAGATAAAAATATTTAAGTAAATCCTCTGTTTATAATAAACAACATTTACCGGCCTGAATGTCCGAGAAATTTCATAGAAAATATTCGTTCATGTATTATAAAATATTGACGCGTTCTCCGAGAATCGTCCGAT